CATGCTCTAATAGAATCTGGACATCAGGCACGTTTTTCATTAAACATTTGGATGGGTATTGTAGGTGACAGGTTTCTAGGTCCTGTTGTTTTACCAAACCGATTAACAGGCGCTGCTTACCTCAACTTTCTGCAGAACACACTGTATGAGTTTTTGGAAGACATTCCTTTGAATCAGAGGCAACAAATGTGGTTCCAGCATGATGGTGCTCCAGCTCATTTTTCCATGGCCGTTAGAGAGCATTTACACCAAACTTTTCCACATAGATGGGTAGGAAGGGCCGGACCTGTTTTATGGCCTCCAAGATCGCCTGATCTGAACCCTCTAGATTTCTTTGTTTGGGGATATTTGAAAACATTAGTGTATGGTACTCCTGTAAATAGCCTGGAAGAGCTGCAGCTACGGATTAATCAAAAGTGTTAAGAAATCCAAACCAAGGAGGGTGTTTTCGAAAGAGTTCGAATATCGTTGAGGCGAAGATGTCGTGCCTGCTTGAAAATGGACGGAGGGCACTTTGAACATCTTCTATAACTTTGTTTTTTGTTTGTTAAAAGCTTCCTTTGTCGGTTTATTCCTAATAAAATAAAATGTTGAAAAACGAATAGTGGTCCGGACCGGAAACAGATATCACCTGGACTAATGTTACTAAAGAATTAATGAAAATTGTTTGTTCCTTTAATTTTTTTCAGTAGTGTATTTCTTCCAACATTATTAGAAAATATATAAAACGTAACAAAAAAGTAAAGTTTCTGTACTCTCTCTCTTTCTTGTCTCTCTCTAACAGTTGCTCTTAAAAAACAAGTATTTCCCCCACTTACAACTACACCCCGTATACGAATAAATATGCCACTTACAGTTCGACGAGCTGCTGGAGATTCTCGAACGCCCTATGGTGCACCTTAGAGATGTCGTTGTACATGAGGGTCCTGGAAGAAACAAACAAGTTTCAACATGTAAATATTTACCTATACATTTTTTCATTCTCCATTATACGAAATATTACGCCGTCGAGAGAAGCTCGGGCTCCCGTCAACCGTGAAATAACGGTGGCAAACGCAGTAGGCTGCGAAGAAACATGCGAGGAGGACGCCTTGTTTGTTTTTACATTTCCGTCGCCGTCGCCAAACAGAGCGCGCGTTGATAATGAAATATTCAACGTTAAAGCAGTTATCCATCCCTGAACCGCCAACTAATTGAGAATGAAATCATGTTTGACTACTGAGGACCATTAAAGCGTTACTTGAGGGTGATGTTTAACTTTCATTTGGGCGTTTCGACCCTTTGAAGAGCAGGGAGATGCTCGGGTGATAAAAACTCAAAATGTCCGCGGTATAACTAGTGCTTTGCCGAAGTCGTGAATGTTATTTAGACTGTTTTTTCAAATTATAGAATCTGTGTGGGACTGGCGTTCGAAATTCACCCATGTTTTGAAAAGAATTCGGTAGTCATTCAAAAAGCTCCCGCCTCAAAGCCCTCATTGCCGCCAAAAGTCATCAGCCGCTTAAGACGACTATGATCAGGCATACCCTTCATCTCCCACAAGCCGTCGACAGCGCATGAAAGCGCGAAAATCTTTGACAACAGTTACTAAGCCCCAAATATTTGAATCTCGAACTTAACGCAAATCTGCCGCGGACATTATTATAGAACCGCCTGCGGATCCAACATCGATGGTGATCGAACGTCAGCTCAGGTACCATACAGTTCAATAACCAGTGTCGGATCCTGACCAGTACTAGTAGTAAGTTTCGAATTATTTCATCTTTTTGCATCATATGCAAACTGTTACATAAATTTATTGTTATAGACTAGGCGGTACCTGTTCTGGTTTGGGTGAATCGTATATCCACGGAGATTTTTGGCTTTTTGGCTTTCAAATATCACTAGAAATTAAAATTTTTCTATGCGTATAAAAAAAAAGTGAGCTTAACTTTTGGCGGCACAATATGTTAAAAAAATTCGAAAAATGTCACATTTTTCTTCCTATTTAATTATGTATCTTTTCAAGAGTTGATTTTAGGCGAAAATGGAAGAGGAAAAAAATGCGTGTAATTAATTTTTTTACAAAATACGACTAGTTAAAAATCGAATGAATCATGATTATTATTGTAAAAATCGAAAAAATCGCCAAAATGGGGCTAAAAAACAATACTTTTTAGGGAATTTTTTTGGGGTCTTTAAGTTGGGTATAGGACCTTCATACTTGGCTCAAGAAAACTTCATGTTGTGTAGAATCTTTACACCAAATTTCATCAAAATCGGTTTGATGGATTTTGCATAATAATTTTGCAATCCAAATTTTGAAAAAAAATTGTAAATCTTCAAAATTTTGCACGGTAAAAACCAAGGCCCTTAGATACTTGAAAATTTAATCACATATAGAAGAGGTCTCAAGCTTTCAAACGCTTTTTGAAATATTCGAATCCGTCAATTGGGAGAGCTCTGGCGCTTGTTTAAACATTGGTCGAATTTTTGTACTAAACAATTAGAATAACTTTGTGAATATTCAATCAAATTAAATTTTTTAAAGCAAGTTTTAAAAGTTATTTGAAAGATGCTCCTTAAAAAAAAACAGGTCGATTGGTCAATTAATTACGTGGTTATAGCCGATCAAAGTATAATTCAAATATTATTTATTGTTTAAAATATAAGCCAATGAGAAATTAATTAATATGTGACACAAATTGTAGTAAACTGTGTATATTTCTAATATAATTTATTTTCGAATACTACAAAACTTTAATTTAGATCAAAATGTAAAGTAAATTATTTTTTGTTCAAAAACTATTACATTTACGAAAAAATAGGAGAACAAAACAGAAACGCCTGACAAAAATGTTTGAAAGACCGCATTGGTAGTTACATCTGCATCATTCTTTAAATCCATGAATGTACTTTACGTGGTAAACTAACGTGCTTTTAGAATATTACTACACTCTAACGAATCGCCCTATATAAATATAAATTCACAAGAGCTATAAATCAAACCAGTAAATTACGTTGAGTGCTAAATTAAAAAATAATAAATTCAGTCAAGTGCAAATAAACAATTTTGTCGGTTTCGCTCCTAAATAATTTCAGGTAGGTAAGTTTATAGTCGTTTATTAATAAAATAAACTATTTCTTAGGCGGTGAAAATATATCGAACACAAAAATTTCGACGAAGCTATTAATAAAAGAGGAAGGTGTAGGTATACAGAAAATACTTACAGCGTTTGAAGTCTGTTATCTTCTGGAAAAACATCCGGGGGGATTAGTTTCAGGTGGTTGTTGTCCAGGTGCCTGAAAAAATAATTTCACTTTAAAAAATCTTATGAGAAACTGTATGTTTGTTTAAAAAAATAAGTTGCTACGCTTTAGACTCCAAAAATTCAAACATGGTGGGTACTTACAAATTTTTTACATTTTTCAGCTTGTAAAAAGTCTTTGGCGCCACTTCAGTAACATTGCAATGCACCATCGTCCTGAAACAACATCCTTTCATGTATAACTTTGATCTAAATGTTAGGTTCATGTTACAAATAAATAAAAATACCAATCGCACTTTTATTGTTGTTTTTTTTATTCTTGGCTGCCAAGCATATCTTTTGTTTTCATGAGGAAGTTTTTTGAGTTGACTGATGTGTAAAAAATATTGGAGAATGCAAAAGTGACTTTGTAACTACCTAACAAACAATATTTGTTCGAAAACTCCTTCGAAATATTGTCTTTGACATTTAGTCATAGAAGCCAGTTAACGTGTTAAGTCATTTAGTTCCGATGGTCATATTTGTCATACCTGCTATAGTGTTCAAATCGAAATGAATAGAAGCCGCAGTAAATGTAATGTAGCAACTTATCTCTCAAAACTCTATAGGAGAAAACGTGAAACATCATTGCGCATGCCTAAAAGCATACGCAACAGCACTAGCGATACCATATACGCAAACAAACGTGAGACCACACCCACCGTCCTCCTACGCAGACGTGGAGACGCGCGCAGTGGTGCCGAGGACTACCTCAGGACACGCCCTCTACCCCACTCCACAGAACTAGGAGCGCGCTACCCCACTCCTACCACTATATAAGCATAGAAACAGATGCGCTCACAACGACAGCGATACTACAGGGTAGGAAAGTACCGATGGTTTATCTGAAGTTACGTGAGAGCGATAAAGTAAGCCATAGAAATCCATGCGATAGAGAGGGATGGCTATAATGAAGGCGTCTCATAGACACCGTCCGTTTCGCCCTTCCACAAATAAGATCCACTTCTTCTTTGCTTGTTGCTGTTTATAGGTCTAGTCTCATTAAAACTCTTCAAATCTGTAAATCCATCTTTATGCCGATGGCGCCCAGCTCTATTACAGTTTTGACCCAAAGGAAGTGGTAAATGCATGTACTGTTATAAATAGGGATCTAAATAATTTTATTAAAGCGGCATCCAATCACTGTTTAAATATTAATTGTGATAAATCTAATGTTTTATTTGGTAATAAAATAAAGATGGATGAAATACGTGATAGCATAAATATATCTGTTTAGGCCGAACGTATTCAAATTGTACGTGAGGCTAAAAGTTTGGGTGTCATTTTTAATTCCGATTTAAAATTTGAAAAACATATAAATCATTTGTTAAAACGATCATACTGTACATTAAAAGTACTATATGGAAGTAGACACTTCTTGCCATTACAAGTAAAGTCTACACTATGTGAAACATTGATCTTGTCTATTTTTAATTACGCCGATGTTCTCTATGGCCCATTTTTAACAGTACAATACAAAAACAAAATCCAGATAAGTGCCCCAAATTTTATTTAAATTTTTTGTATCCTTACAGTAGGCACATACTATCGAGTTTGAGACACCATGTACTGATACATGTGTTTTTGAAGAAAGGTACCTTTTACATACTAAATCTTCAATAAACATTTAAAATATGCGTAGAAAAGATAAAGAATTCCCTGAGCGTTATATTTACCGTAGGTTTTACCAAAAATAATAGTGACAGCTTAACTTGTACCAATCTAGACAATGCACGAAAAAAAAGTAGTTCACAAAGATATAAACTTAAATTGAATACACGAATTCAACGCTTGGAAAGCAGAAGTTGTGTTAGCAATGATAGCAGCCATCTTAAAACGTCATGGCAACGGCAAGTTATCTCAATACCTAGCCTGCATAAGTGGTAAGAATTATTTACATGTATGAATGCTTTCTGTCAACACCCGCCACCAAAACGTCCTGATTTAAACCCTGTTTCAGCCTGTATTGTAGCTTTCACCTCTGGCATCCACTATGGCTGGACAGGGCCGTCATTGAGGAAAATACTCACCCCAGAATACCCCCATGAAGTAACCCCCGATGAAGCTTCCTACATAGCAATCGTTAGCTGCGCGGGGCACGTTATCGGAGGGTTTTCTGGAAGTGCTCTGTCAGATACCATCGGCAGGAAATACACCTTGCTGGCTATTGCAGTACCACAAGTATCGTCATTGCTTTTGATATACTTTTCTTACGTTGAGAAGTACTTCTTGTATGCGGCCAGAGTCGTAGGTACGTGATGAAAACATACATTTTCTTGTTATTTGTTCAATGTTTCATGCAGGGGGTGTTGCTGAAGGAGGTATAGTAGCAGTGCTGCCGATCTACATAGCTGAAGTGTCATCCCCAGACATCAGAGGAGCCATTGGGACATTGTCCACGTTGGCTAGCATGTACGGTTGTCTCTTCATCAACCTGCTGGGCTCGTATACAAACATCCACACCACTGCTCTCATATGCCTTGCTTTCCCGGTACTACACTGGATCTGTTTCGTAAATTTCCCGGAGAGCCCTTACTTTTTGCTGATGAAAGGGAAGGTTGAACGAACTAGAGAGAGTCTCAAGGTCCTACGAGGGTCGCAAGACATAGAAAAAGAGTTGCTTGGACTCACTGGTGATGTAGCAAGACAAATGTCTGAGTCTGGTACCTATCTGGACTTGTTTACTATAGACTCCAACCGTAAAGCGTTCCTTTTGGTAACCGCGGCCAGAATCTTCCAACAGTTCACGGGCATCTCCGCCTTCGTCAGCTACTACCAAATCTTGATCGAGCAAAGCACGAATTTGTCGCCAGTTCTGGGTTCATCGTTGATCCTCCTCACTCAGATCGCTATGAACCATCTAACGTCATCGTTTGTGGACAGGTTCGGTAGGAAACCGTTGTTGACGTTGTCTGCAGGTCTTACATGCTTTGTTTTGCTGGTGCTAGGAGTGTACTTCACTTTAAAGGACTATACCTCGCTAGATCTGTCTGGCGTTCTTTGGTTTCCACTCCCCGTCATGGTGCTCTTCATCATATCTTCTTTCCTGGGAATAGGCGTTATTATACCGATTGTCGTGTCGGAGATTTACTCGACGAGTATCAAATCTAAAGCAGTTTCGCTTGGTAGCATCGTTTTCGCTTCCTCCATGATGGCCAGTACCAAGTTCTACCAGTATTCTGCTGATAACTTTGGTTTGGCGGTGCCTTTCTACAGCTTCGGTGCTTGCACTTTCTTTGGGATGCTGTTCTACCGCTTTGGACTGCCAGAGACTAAGGGGAAGACGTTGGAGGCTATACAACAGGAGTTGAAAGGAAATCGTATAAAGAATTAGCTTTCTCCTTGGAATTCTTGTAAAGCTAAGATATTTTTAATTAAAATTTGTATGAAATCTATATTTTAATTCTATAAATATAAAAATTTAATTTCAAGTTAGTAAGCTTTATATCAAATACGTAATTACATACATGTTTATTTAAAGCTGGTTCGGTTATAAATAAACTATTAATATTATGCAATGTAGTAGCAAGTACTAAGACTAATAAAATATTAATTTAAGGTTTAAGTCGCTATCTTTCTTAAATATTTCATGTACAGGGTAGCTACGATGATAGGTCACTTAAAATCGTCTCATTTAATTAAATACAGGGCGTTTCGCATATGAACCGACAAGGGCATGTAGGGGAAACTTACCTTTATAATAAGCTAGGCGAGCGGTTCACCCCTAAAAAAAAGGCATGAACGGACAAAATTTTTAAAACATAAACCTACAGCATGAAACTTTTTTTATTTTATAGTGTATTTTTCTGATAATTTACATATATTTTTTTATATTTTTCGGCGTGGTCAGGCAATTGTTAAAAACAAAGTTGTAAAAAAAAAATACTCGCCGAATGGCTTTGTTTATTGTACAATGGGCCAAAATAAAAACTTTTTATTCTTTGACAAAAATTCGAAAAATGCTTTGTTTGACAGTTACAATTTTCGTAGAACATTTTCCACTACATGAACAAAAATATTTTTGAAACATATCTAACGCAGTTTCTCCTTCGAAATAATTAAAATCCAAACAACCATTTTCCATCCATGTGTCAATGGATCTTGAGTTACAATTTCACTATTTGTAAACTGTGCTTTTTACTCGCTTTAGACTTTCAATAAAATAATTGACCTATACCAAAAATATATATCTTAAAGAAGATCTGCCGATTATTATGCTTCTTTTAGAATTAAAATCTGTTCTGTAGTTTTTGAGAAAAAAATTCCGAAAATTTGTCGTTTTCATCACTTTTTTCACATTAAATTATAAATATCTCGGAAACGAAGTATTTTTCGAATTTTTGTCAAAGAACAAAAAGTGTTTATTTTGGTCCATTTTATAATCAAAAGTTTTCAAAGCCAATCGGCGAGTAATTTTTTTTACAACTTTTTTGTTTATAACAATTGACTGACCTCGCGGAAAAATATAAGAAAAAATATATGTAGATCATCAGAAAAATATGCTTTATAAAATAAAAAAAGTTTCATGCTGTAAGTTTTTGTTTTAAAAATTTAGTCGGTTACCTTCATTTAGAAGAAGAAGAATCTTTTTAGGGGTGAACCGCTCGCCTATTATAGCCCTTAGAAATGGGGTTTTAAATTTCGAAAAAAGTATATCTCAGTTATACTTGAACTTGGAAAAACCTAATTTTTTATACGGTATGCGTCTACCAAGAGTATAGTTCACTTGAAGCATTTTAAAGGGTTGATAAGGGTTTATGCACCATTAAAATGTGACGGAAGTTTTTAACCATTTGGCAGACTTAAAAAATTGTTACTTTATTTTATAGGGAATTTAATTCTAAAACTTTTCTTACTCCAGTTAGTTGTCAAAAAATTTTGTCGTTTTCAACNAATTGACCTAGCGGTCTCGATAATTATTTTATTTTTATTTTACAAAAATATTAAGAGCAAAGTATATTAATTTCTTTTTTATTTAATTTTTAAATAAGTTTTTTGTTATTTTCGACAAATTCTTGAATTGATATAAGCGTTTCATCATCAATTTCGGATAGAACATTCTGTCATTCTGTCATTCATCTGAGCACGCACAAATTGCACAGCATTCCACGTTCGATGACAGTTACAATTTTCGTAGAACATTTTCCACTACATGAACAAAAATATTTTTGAAGCATATCTAACGCAGTTTCTCCTTCGAAGTAATTAAAATCCAAACAACCATTTTCCATTTTCCATCCATGTGTCAATGGATCTAAAGTTACAATTTCACTATTTGTAAACTGTGCTTTTTACTCGCTTTAGACCTTCAATAAAATAATTGACCTATACCAAAAATATATATCTTAAAGAAGATCTGCCGATTATTATGCTTCTTTTAGAATTAAAATCTGTTCAGTAGTTTTTGAGAAAAAAATTCCGAAAATTTGTCGATTTCGTCACTTTTTTCACATTAAATTATAAATATCTGGGAAACGAAGTATTTTTCGAATTTTTGTCAAAGAACAAAAAGTGTTTATTTTGGTCCATTTTATAATCAAAAGTTTTCAAAGCCAATCGGCGAGTAATTTTTTTTACAACTTTTTTGTTTATAACAATTGACTGACCTCGCGGAAAAATATAAGAAAAAATATATGTAGATCATCAGAAAAATACACTTTATAAAATAAAAAAAGTTTCATGCTGTAGGTTTTTGTTTTAAAAATTTAGTCGGTTACCTTCATTTAGAAGAAGAAGAATCTTTTTAGGGGTGAACCGCTCGCCTATTATAGCCCTTAGAAATGGGGTTTTAAATTTCGAAAAAAGTATATCTCAGTTATACTTGAACTTGGAAAAACCTTATTTTTTATACGGTATGCGTCTACCAAGAGTATAGTTCACTTGAAGCATTTTAAAGGGTTGATAAGGGTTTATGCACCATTAAAATGTGACGGAAGTTTTTAACCATTTGGCAGACTTAAAAAATTGTTACTTTATTTTATGGGGAATTTAATTCTAAAGCTTTTCTTACTCCTGTTAGTTTTCAAAAAATTTTGCCGTTTTCAACAAACACAGGAATAACTAATAATGCGTATTGTAGCTGTTATTTAAAATCATCGAAAATTCAAAAGTTGGCTATGAATTTAAACGTCAAACTTGACAATCAGGAAAAATAATTATCATTTTTAAATAGTTTAGTTTTAGAAAATAGTTTAATTTATTTGGGGGTCTTTAAATTGGGTATAAGACTTTCATACTTGGCTCAAGAAAACTTCATGTTATGTAGAATCATCACACCAAATTTCATCAAAATCGGTTTGATAGATTTTGCATAATAATTTTGCAATCGAGATTTTGAGAAAAAAATTGCAAATATTTAAAATTTTGCACAGCAAAAACCAAGGCCCTTAGATAATTGAAAACTTAATTACATATAGAAGGGCTGTCAAGCTTTCAAACGCTTTTTTTTAAATTCGAATCCGTCAATTAGGAGAGCTCTGGCGCTTGCTTAAACATTGGTCGAATTTTTGTACTTATAGCAGGTTTTAAAAGTTATTGATTTTTTATAATTAATTTATTAATTTAATAATTTCTTTTGTGATTAAAGTATAATTCAAATATTATTTATTGTTTAAAATATAAGCAAATGAGAAATTAACTCATTATATTACTAACTTTCGACATATTTTGAAAATAATAGTTGTCTAAACAATTTTAGAATATTAAAATAAATTTGTTTTTGATCTTTGATAAACAGTATACAAGTTTATGCACTTACCTTTGATACAATAAAAAAATAAAATTGATAATTAAAGGAAGTTTAAAGATAACTAATTATCGGACTGTTGAAAGACTAATAATTATTAACGATAGACATTTGAAAATACGCTAATTGTTTTTTTTTTAATCGCAAGACATCGATGTTCCAGTACATTTAGTGTAAATGACGGTTAACTTTGATCGGCTATAACTACGTAATTAATTGACCAATCGATCTGTTTTTTTTTTAAGAAGCGTCTTTCCAAGAAATTTTATAACCTATTTTGAAAAATTTGATTTGTTTGAATATTCACAAAGTTATTCTAAAGTATAAAAATTCGACCAATGTTTAAACAAGCACCAAAGCTCTCCTAATTGACGAATTCGAATTTTTCAAAAAGCGTTTGAAAGCTTGAGAGACCTTCTATATATGACTAAATTTTCAAGTACCTAAGGGCCTTGGTTTTTGTTGTGCAAAATTTTGAAAATTTACAATTTTTTTTCAAAATTTGGATTGCAGAATTATTATGCAAAATCTATCGAACCGATTTTGATGAAATTTGGTGTGATGATTCTACATAACATGAAGTTTTCTTGAGCCAAGTATGAAGGTCCTATACCCAATTTAAAAACACCAAAAAAAATCCCTAAAAAGTAATGTTTTTTAACCCCATTTTTGGCGATTGTTTCGATTTTCATAATAATAATCATGATTCATTCGATTTGTAACCAGTCATATTTTGTAAAAAATTTAATTACAAACTTCTTCCATTTTTTATATGACAGTTTTTCGATTTTTTTAACATATCGTGTCGCCAAAAGTTAAGCCCACGTTTTTTTTATGCGCATAGAAAACTTTTCGTTTCTAGTGATATTTGAAAGCCAAAAAGCCAAAAATCTCCGTAGATATACGATTCACACAAATATGGACTATTTGAAACAGATACCGTATGGACTATTATTAGTTATTCCTGTTTTTGTTGAAACCGACAAAGTTTTTTGAAAACTAACAAGAGTAAGAAAAGTTTTAGAATTAAATATCCCAAAAAATAAAGTAATATTTTTTTTACTCCGCCAACGGAATAAAATATTCTGTCATATTTTAATGGTGCATCATCCCTTATCAATCGTATAAAATGCTTTAAGTGAACTCTATTCACTATCGATTAATGTTCTTGGTACACGCACACCGTCTACCAAATTTGGTTTCTCTAAGTTCAAGTATAACTGAGATATTGATTTTTTTCGAAATTTGAAACCTCACTACGTTCACCACGACACCCTGTACAATATTACTCGTGTAAAGGTATCTAAATCCTCAATAAACATCTGAATACAAAAAAAAAATGTAGATATCGCATTCACAATAGGGTTTACGTAAGAAAAGAAATGCGTCTAATTTAGTTTAATTAAACGATGTTCAACAGGACCACGATTTCAGGTAAACTGAAACTTTCCCTGGTACCACAAGAATGACTCTACCCGTGATAAAAACCATACTAGAGGGACAAGGCAGTGCCAAACTGTTGCAATACCTAGCGTGCACAAGCGGTAAGAATATTTTACTCTAATTTAACCAAATCTGGAGGGTCAGGTGGCTAAAGCAAGCTTTTTCTAGCTTGTGTGGTAGTTTTCACTGTGGGCATCCACCTGGCATGGACAGGGCCTTCGTTGAGGAAGATCCTCTCCCCGGAATACCCCCATGACGTAACCCCGGATGAGGCCTCCTACATAGCAATCGTCAGCTGCGTGGGGCACGTCATCGGGGGGTTTTCTGGAAGTACCCTTTCGGACACGATGGGCAGAAAGTATACTTTGCTGGCTGCGGCAGTGCCGCAAGTGTCGTCCTTCATTATGATCTACTTTTCTTACTACGGAACGTACCTTTTGTACTGCGCCAGGGTCATAGGTATGTGCTGTTTGTTTATTTCTACTCAATAATAATTTTCTTGTAGGTGGTATCGGGGAAGGTGTCGTTGTGGCAGTGCTACCGACCTACTTGGCTGAGGTGTCATCTCCGAACATCAGAGGAGCCATAGGGACGCTTTCGACGCTATTCGCTAGATCTGGTTGTCTTTTCATCAACCTGTTGGGTTCTTATACGGACATCCATACTGCTGCTCTAGTATGTCTAGCGTTCCCAGTACTGCACTGGGTTCTTTTTGTTAATTTCCCAGAAACCCCCTATTATTTGCTGATGAAGGGAAAAACTGAAAGGGCTAGACAGAGCTTGAAGGCCCTAAGAGGCTCCCAAGACGTGGAAAAAGAGGTACTACGACTCACAGCCGACGTAGCAAGGCAAATGTCTGAGTCTGGAACGTACAAGGACTTGTTTACCATAGATTCCAATCGCAAGGCTTTTTTCTTGATTACCGCCGCCAGAATCTTCCAACAGTTCACGGGAACCTCAGCTTTCATCAACTACTACCAAATATTGATCGAGCAAAACACGGATCTGTCACCGGTTATGGGTTCTTCATTAATAATTCTCACCCAGATAATCATGAGTGCTCTAGCGTCCAAGTTCGTGGATAGATTTGGCAGGAAACCACTTTTAACTGCGTCCGCAGGTCTAACTTTCTCAGTTCTTCTAATTCTAGGCATATATTTCACCTTGAAGGACTATACCTCCCTAGACCTGTCCGTAATCCACTGGTTCCCACTGCCTATGATGGTGCTGTTCATCATAACTTTCTTCCTGGGTATGGGGGTGATTATGCCGATACTGGTATCGGAAGTCTACTCCACGAGTATCAAGGCTAGGGCTATTTCCCTTGGTGGCATAGTTTTTGCTTCCTCCATGACGGCTAGTACTAAATTCTACCAGTACGCAGGAGATAATTTTGGATTGGCGGTGCCCTTCTACACTTTCGCTGCTTCCACGTTCTTTGGGACGTTGTTCTTCCACTTTAAAGTGCCGGAAACTAAGGGGAAGACGCTGGAAGCCATCCAGCAAGAACTGAAGGGCAACGTCGGAAAGAACCGTCAATCTATGACATGATGTTCTTCTTGTTGTAATCAATAAAACTAATTTATAACCTCTTTCTTTCTGTTTTTGTATGTGTAAGTGTTGTTCTCATGGTTTTTCTTAATATACAGAGTGTTAATGAACTCATGTCAAATATTTAAATTGATGTCACAAACTTGTATCGGAAGTTTAAGGTCATAGAGAAAAGAGCTAATTAAAAATGTATTTAAAACTGTTTTGGAACTGCTGAAATATAGAGTGAGTTACGCTGACGGCCCATTAGAATTATTTCAGACTACTGCGAATTGAATTTTAAAAATTTGGGATACCGGGTTTTCGGGCATGCCTTCTCAACTAAAATAATGGCGTCCTCGTACCACTTCCGGTTATACCGGAAGTTGCCATCAACTTGGTTACTTTAAATGGAACACCCTATATATTATTGCAATTTTGTATTCTACGTGTTATTTAGGTGGACTTTTATGAAGTTTCCCTATTCCTAAAATTAACCGTTTTCGAGATATTTAATTTTTTTCAAAAAAATGGAGAGCAATAGTGACTGGCTTCAAACCCTGTGTATTTTATAGTAACAAAGACAAAGGAACAATATTTATAGGGGGGATAGCTAGATCCCTAAGCTTCCCATATAGACTTTCAAAGTGGCTTAATTGCCTACAGGTGCTAGATATTTAATGCCGAGTTTAGTTAACTTCAAACCTTCATAAGTCAGTTTTTTTTAAATGGAACACTCTGTATGTTTTTCTCTATTCTGATACACAATTTTATTCTCTTTCAAACGGTATCAGGTTCCCTATACCTATCTCTTCTAGTTTTTAAGTTATCCACTATTTTTTGTGTAATCACCCAAAATCATGTATTTTTTTGCGAAGATAGCTGTGGAAGTTTTAGCAAAACTTCAAAACAAACAACGAAACTGTCACCAGTTATTTATTATTATTTATTCACAGACGTTGCAATGGGATTCTAAGCAGAACAGTTACAGTTTTTAATGAGACATATCCCAATTTTCCACTAATGAGCAGAATAAAGTTAGGAAGAATTCTAAAAAATGAACTTCATACATAGTAATAGACAATTTTAATTATGTATGTTGATAATAATAATGCACTAAGATAAAAAAATTATTAAAAAAAGTCATGTTTTCAATATGACCCCTATTAACAGCTAAGCATTTGTGGATTCTAGAGATAACACCATCAGTCACCGCTCTTGCTATTTCAGCTGCAAGCAATTCATGGAACGCTCTTCGTATTCGAGCAATCAATTCCTCTTTTGAAGCAACGGGTATAGAATAAACTTTTTGGTTTATTACTCCCCAAACATAAAAATCTAATGGAGTGAGGTCGGAAGACCTCACTGGCCAATTCCACGGTCCTAGGTGTCTCATCCATCTATCTTCAAACATTTCAGTCGGCTGTTGATCGATTTGATTGTGACAGAGAGGTGGAGCCCCTTCTAATTTATACCAACACTTCCTTAGTTTGTCTAAAGGTGTATCATCTAGAAAATCTGTCACAACCGTAAGCGAAATACGGAGATATCTGGCGGCATTTAAATTTTCTTCGTATACAGGGTGTTCCTAAATAAGTGTCGCAGAAACTGTAAATTCCTCTTGAAAAAAGAAACATTATTTTCCTCTTCCATTTTTCTCTCCGGGCTTTCGTTTTCGAGATACACGATGTCAAAACTTTATTTTTTTTTTAGTTTTTCGCCAGTATCTTAGGAATCGTTTGAACTACAGGACTGAGCTTTTGTACACACATTACCACTATTAATAGCTACTTTTTCGCACCCTTCTCGAATTCATTGGACGTGCCAGTGGTGGAGATTTTAAGGTATCGTAAGGGTTTTTCCCCCCCAAATTTTACGCCACTGGAAAAATTGACTTTTGACAGCAAATTCTAAAGCGCCAATGAATTTTACACAATAAGAGTTCTCTTGGTTCATTGCTCTAAAGTCAACCGTTTTCAAGAAAAATGACTTTTTATGAACAAAAGCAAACATTTTGCTAACGTTTCGAAAATCTTTTGTAATTCAAAAAATAGGTAGTAATAATTAACAATTTTAACGAAATTTAACAACAGATAGGATTTTAACTTTTTTTTATCAATTTGGCGAGTAAAATTTACAGAAACTGTTCAAAATTACGTCCGTTGGCTTGAATGCACGCATTACATCTTCTAATCATGTTTCTTTCTGCCGCTGCGGCTTCACCTCTATCGGTCAACTTTTCGATAGTATTGACATGGAACGTTAGCAAAAATGTTTGCTTTTGTTCATAAAAAGTCATTTTTCTTGAAAACGGTTGACTTTAGAGCAATGAACCAAGAGAACTCTTATTGTGTAAAATTCATTGGCGCTTTAGAATTTGCTGTCAAAAGTCAATTTTTCCAGTGGCGTAAAATTTAGGGGGGGAAAAACCCTTACGATACCTTAAAATCTCCACCACTGGCACGTCCAATGAATTCGAGAAGGGTGCGAAAAAGTAGCTATTAATAGTGGTAATGTGTGTACAAAAGCTCAGTCCTGTAGTTCAAACGATTCCTAAGATATTGGCGAAAAACTAAAAAAAAATTAAAGTTTTGACACCGTGTATCTCGAAAACGAAAGCCCGGAAAGAAAAATGGAAGAGGAAAAAATTTTTCTTTTTGCAAGAGGAATTTACAGTTTTCCGTTGCGACACTTATTTAGGAACACCCTGTATATGGTAAGAAATTTGGTCTTTAATTAGACAAAAAACATTTACGCTAAATTTATTTTGAAAGTTTCTTTCCCGGATAATATGAGGATTTTCAGATGACCACAAATCAGTATTATGTCTATTAAAAATATCTTCTCTCGTAAATTTTGACTCGTCTGTCCATATAATATTTTGGAAAAATTGTGGATCTTCTTGGTATCGCACTAACATCGTTTCACAAAATTGTACACGTTGCACGGCGTCACCTGGATAAAGAGCAGAAAGTGGCTTAAATTTGTATGGATGCATATCATTAGTTCTTAGCATCCTGTGAATGGACGCTCGTGAAATGCCTAAATCATACTCTGCGGCACGAGTTGAGGATTCTGGATGAACATTAAAATAGGCTAGCACATTTATTGTATTATCTTCATTTGAAGTTATTGGTTTTGGTAAAATTCTTTCTGCACAAATTCAACCATACTCTAGTTGATTTACTAAAATTCTTCTTAACTTTTTTCTGCTCATTGGTCGCAAATTTGGATATGTCTCATTAAAAACTGTACTTATAATCCCATTGCAACGTCCGTGAATGAATAACAAATTTAAAATATCAGCATTTGAATATGTATTGTTTTCCATTTCTTATAAACACTCAATCAAACTGTCACTGCAAGAGACTAACAACAAATTGACAGTTTAGTTGTTTGTTTTGAAGTTTTGCTAAAAATTCCACAGCTATCCTCGCAAGAAATTACATGATTTTAGGTGATTACACAAAAAATAGTAGATAACTTAAAAACTAGAAGAGACAGGTATAGGGAACCCTGATACCGTTCGAAAGAGAATAAAATTGTGTATCAGAATACAGAAAAACATACATGGTGTTCCATTTAAAAAAACTGACTTATGAAGGTTTGAAGTTAACTAAACTCGGCATTAAATTTCTCGCACCCTGTATGCAATTAAGCCACTTTGAAAGTACGGATGGGAAGCTTAGAGGTCTAGCTATCCCCCCTATAAATATTGTTGCTTTACCTTACTAATCAGTTCTCAAAAGGTGGCTTCTTGTAAAGTTGAGGTAAGTCGGATTTTAAAATTAGATTTTACTCAACCCAAATCCCTGTATTTACCTAATTTTGACATAACGGACATATGGCAAAGATATTTGACATAAGTTCGTTAACACCGTGTATTTTCTAAAATTTTCAACACCCTGTATTTCGGAATTTAAGCGCTCTTGGCCACATGTTTATTGGAACTTTTTTTCTTTAAATACCATAAGAAATTGTGCCCTGAATTTACGGACCGTAGTTAGGAAACGCCTTGTATAGAATAACAACAAAGTTAATTTTCTTGTACTAGTCCAGTCACTGAAGGAGAAAGTAAAGTAAAAGCTCCCAATTTTTTCGGATAGCATGGATTTTCCTGAAAATTTGCATACAAGCTCATCAGACCCTCCATTTCAAAAGTTATATTTTCTAGATGTGTGCTTTTTTCTATTTGGGGGTGAAAACTACCCTTGTACGAAAAAAATGCGAAAATCGCAGATTTACGTATTTTAAAGATTCAATTCTTGTTCATATTTGTTGGGTAAAGTTCCTTTCATGTTTTTTAATATAATTTATGAAATTTAATCACTTTTCAACCCTTAAAAATCCTTAAAACTACCCTTCCATGGCCAAAAAAATAGAAAGAAAAAGTTTTTAACAGTTTAACATATTCTTTTGATGCATTCACAATGTATCAATGTATTGCATTTCTTTTGTTATCCATTAGAAAGCTTACGACTCATTACAAAGTTGCAAGAAAAGTAAGAAAAAAACTACAATCTCTTATTATTTTTTTTATAACAGTTTTTGAAATATTTTGAAAAACGGCGATTTTTTAAAAACTTGAAAAATTTTATTCAAAAGTAAATGAAATATATTTTTTTTAATTTAGGCTTCTAAAATCGTTGAAATTCCCAGAATCTACTGTTNGGGAATTTAGCCGCTCCAAAAGTTTTACCGAAAAAATGCGATTACTTTTAGTAATTTTAAAGTTATAAATTTACTCGAAAAACTATTTTGTAGGGAATTTAAAGCACTTTAAGTTCTGTGATTTGCAATTTTTTTGAGCCCTTCGTTTTTTAGATTTGTAAGCTAAAAGGGCTCAGGAAAGGCAGTCTTGGAGCTTAGTTTTGAGCTTCCAACGGTCATAACTCGGTCAAATTTTGTCCTACAAAAATTTAAAAAAAGCAAATTGTTCAGTAAGAAAAGAACTACAATCTCTTTTATTATTTTTTTTATAACAGTTTTTGAAATATTTTAAAAAACGGCGATTTTTTAAAAACTTGAAAAATTGTATTCAAAAGTAAATGAAATATATTTTTTTTTTAGGCTTCTAAAATCGTTCAAATTCTCAGAATCTACTGTTAATACATAAATAAAGTAAATTGCAGAAAGAATACGTTTAATTTTTTTTCCGTCAAGTTATTAATTTTAATACCGATTTTTTTTTCTCAAAAATCAAGACAATAATTTTATTTTGATTGTAACTTCATTAGTTTTCATGCTAACGACTTCTACCACCGCTCAATTTAAAGGTCTTTTCAAAAACATTAATAGGTGTTATATAAATTTTCCTCGAAAAACCTTTAATTTTTCCGCTACAGGACGCTGAACGTTTCGATTATAGCTATTTTCGAAATTGACTTCAACTTCTGGGAGTCATAACTCGGGTTCTATACCATCTATAAAAATAAAAAGAACGCACTCTCTTTGCTATTTAATTACCTCCATTTTTGCTTATGATAATTTTTTTTTAAACTTGTAGTTTTTGAGATATTTGCGAAAAATGGCTCAAAAACATGCATTTTTTGGGCTAAAAACGAACATGTTTAGACGCAAATAACTCAAAAAATATTGACTGTACAAAAAATTCTTATAGAACATTTTTTGTTTAGAATTTGTCCCTCTATCGAATCATGAGGTTATTTTTAATAAAAAAAATTCCCACCCTCCAGAAGGGGTGGCATCCACCCCTAGGGTAAAAGCACACATCGGCACTATATAACTTTTGTTTCCTGGGCTATTCCCTAGCTTCAGTTCAAATTTCACGTCAATCCATTCCATCCGAAAAAATTGGTAGCCAAAATGCTTCTGTGACTGGACTATAGGTGCTATCGAAGTAGGTGCTGTTGTAGGTCTATTAAAATGTTAAATAAAAACATATATTAAAATAACAGAAGATAAAGTATAATCCGTCTCCTCTGGAGAATAATTGTTATATTCGGGCTAATAAAGCTAAAAATAAATCACCGTTTTTAACACCTAATAACACCGTAAATTTTTTCTACGAAACATCCCACTTTATTGTGTCTCCTTAAACAAACAAAGCTCCAAAATACCCTCTGTATCTTAGGTGGCTTAACGAGATAAAAGAGCGTCAAAGCACCATAAAAAGAAAACAATTATTAGTTAACATTAAAACAATTGCACACATCATATCTTTAATTGCGTGCAAACTGCTAAATATATATTAATCTAAATTGGCGTTATGGTATATCTAAACTTTAAATTGGTATCATCTGACAATCGTAAAGCAGTGGTTCTGTACATAGACCGTGGCACATTGCTTAAATTCGGTAATATGAAGAACTGCTAAATTAAAAAGAAAAGATCGCGATGACACCCATTAGATCAGTGCTAGAAAAGAAGGACGGCAGCAGGGCTAATCAGTATTTGGCTGGGATAAGTGGTGAGTTGTTTTGTAAAGCAGAAACGATGATTTGGAACTTTTTCAAGCTGTTAATTGTCTGCAACAAATAAAAACCCGTCGACATTCCATTAAATTTAATTGATATCGATGTTATTAGGCACAATCAAGTTTTGAAATTAAATTCATTCGTGTCACTGATTTATAACCCTTTTAAATTTCAAAATCAATGTCGACAAATAAATACAGGGTGTTAATGATAAGTTTTGCCGAACTTTAATGGCGTATCCTACCGATGAATATAATCAAATTTTGCTTTATAAAAATTTTGGATAGGACGCTTCCCTACAGAGCTACAGGGTGTTGAAAGTTTCAAATGTTTATTTTATTTTTCCCGTAATTTCACTGGCATAAAAGATTAAGTGATAAAATTTGGGGGATGAAATTTTTTTAGTAGGGACAATTTTTTTTCATGGATACCTTATTCCAAACTCCAGTGGCGTAGTTATTGGGGGAGTAGGGGACCTTTTTTTGAAAAAAAGAATGGTACGCCACTGGTTATTTAAATAATTTTAAATGTTTCGCCGTTTAACTCATTACAAGCGTTTGTGATTTTTTCTTTCAAATGGTTAATATCTCGCGAAGGTGTTTTGTAAACCTTATTTTTTAAAACCTCCCATGAAAAAAAAATCAAGGGGTGTTAGATCTGTTGACTTTGCGGGTCACTGAATAGGTCCATGAAGCCTAATCCTTTTTTCTTGGAAAGTGTTCTCTAAATAAATATTAACTTTTTCTGAATGAGAAACCATTGTGTAAGCACAAAATTTATACGTTTGTCGTTCGCATTGAGTAATGACAAGCATTTTGTGGCATTTATGCACTTTAAACAACGAACATTCCATTATTTTCCAACGTCTACTTGATCTTTCCATCGCTAATGTGATTTTTAGGTGGTATTTCTTTTGAGACTCTTTAGAACGAAACGGGAAATAATACAGAAAAATTTCTCTAATAAAAGTTTATTAGAAGAAAGAGAACTTAACAGTAAAAAAATCCTCATCCCATTTACAACCACGGGTCCCAAATTTTATTAAATTTTTTTGGATCCTGACAGTAATACCGGACTCATATTAATAGAATACTCAATCTGGTCCGGAAAGAAATTGATACATAATTGAGTAAAATTGAGTGAATTTATGTGATTTTTTTACAGACTGTATATTTGTATGTATATTCCATGCATGGAAATTTTGATGTAACGTTTTTTTAGAAGACTGTATAGATTACCTCCTTGATATCCCGTCCTGTCTCAGTTTCCAGTTGAGATTCGTCAGTGCGTGTCATAGGCGTACAAGTGTGAAAGGCGTTCCACATTTTAGTCATTCAAACAAGTGTTAAAAACGAAATCGAGTGTGATAAACAAAATACGCATTTCATTAACAAAAGTGACTGTCAGAAATGTTTATCTGCGTTAAAATGTGGTTAAAGTGTAAAAGAGCGAAACCTATGCCAAAAAAAAGTTAATTTAACAATGATGTTAAAGATTCACGATTTTTTTTAAATAAACTTCAACCTGCAGTAATAGAAGTCAAAGATTTGATGTTGGATGTACCAAGGCGACATATTTCTTTGTCGTTCAACAATTTTTGGGTCTCTCTAAAATGATACGCCCATGGAATTTCACTCGCGTCTTACCGTCGCGCGTACTACATCTCGATAATAAATCACTGCTTACTATTTTTGACTCGCTTCACCCTACGATGTGTTACATCCCCTGTTTTATTTAAAATCCTGTTCCAGCTTGCATCGCCCTCTTCACCGCAGGCATCCACGTGGGCTGGCCGGCGCCATCCTTAAAAATAATCCTCTCCACGGAATACCCCTTCCGGATAAGCGAAGACGAGGGCTCCTACATAGTCATCACCAGCTGCCTAGGGCACATCGTCGGCGCCATGACGGCGTCAGCTCTAGCCGACACCATCGGCAGGAAGTGGGCTCTGCTCTCGATATCCCTTCCCCAACTGGCCGCCCTGATGATGATCTGCACCTCCTACCACACGAAATACCTCCTCTACTGCGCCAGGATAATAGGTAAGCCCTAGAACCAGCCGTAAACGCGGTGGTAAGACTTGTTTTTCAAGGTGGTATAAGTGAGGGGGCCGTGCTGGCCGTCCTGCCCACCTACATGGCGGAAGTGGCGGAACCGGAAATACGTGGGTTCCTCGGGACGTTCATGTCCTTCGTGTTCGTCCTTGGCGTGCTCTTCGTTAACATTGTTGGTTCCCACTTGGACATCTACACCACGGCGTTGATCGGCATGATCTTTCCCGTCCTGTACTGGGTGGTTTTCATAAACTTCCCAGAGACTCCCTACTATTACTTCATGAAAGGAAGACCGGAACAGGCCGTTAAGAGCTTGAAGATCCTGAGGAGGAAGAATAGTGTCTGGAAAGAAGCGGAGAGTTTATCAGCTGACGTCGACAGGCAAATGTCGGAATCTGGGGGGTACCTAGATCTATTCAGGGTGTCTTCCAATCGTAAAGCGTTCTTCTTAGTTGCTGCAGCTAGGATTTTCCAGCAGCTTACCGGAGCTTCGGCTTACGGGCTCTATTGTCAACTGCTCATAGGAGGATCCACCAAACTCTCCCCAGTACTGGGTTCGTGCTTGCTCATGGTCACCCAGCTGACGGTGATATGCGTTTCTTCCCTCTTCATAGACAAGATTGGAAGGAAACCACTCTTTACTCTCTCCTCAGGACTCAGCTGCCTCGTTCTGTTCATCCAAGCTTCATTCTCCATCCTCAAAACCTACTCCGGCTTGGACCTGTCATTCATGCACTGGTTTCCGGTGCTGGTAATGGTGTTCTTCGTTTCTTTCTTCACCATGGGTCTTGGGGTGGGTCTTAACATCTTCGTTTCGGAGATATTCTCTTCCAGTATTAAGGCAAAGGCACTGTCTTTGAGCAGTATAGTGTACTCTTTTTCCATGATGGCCAGCATCAAGTACTACCAGTATACTGCGGATAATTACAGTTTGGCGGTGACTTTCTACACATTCGCGTTTTGTACTTTAATAGGCACGTTCTTCTTCAAGTTTTTCCTGCCAGAAACCAAGGGTAAGACCCTGGAAACCATCCAACAGGAGCTGAAGGGGAGGAAGAAGAAAATGCCTTTTCGCGCTCAGTCTTAACGGTTTGTAACGTTTATTTAATAAATTTTTTTAATCGTATCAGTTTATTTTTTAAATGATACTCACAGCGTGTCCACTAGATCCGGGATATGTTCCACCGTTTCTGGTCCCAAGTGCTTGAAGTTGTTGCCTGTAAAGTCCCTGCAGAGGAAATGGTAGCGTTGCATTAAAAAAATTGTAGGTATGAGCTGTACTTACAATATATCTATGTATACTTGAGGTATATCCCTAGGAGCCGCGTCGTAGTTCTTGTGCTGACAAAGCAAGTCTCTAGCTCTGCATGCACAAGAACCATTGTACCATAAGACTGGAACAAAATTACTTAAGGCACAGCCAAAGTTGTAAGGATGTACTTACAGCATATGTTTCCGAAATCGTCATGCTCCGCTGCTATATTCTTCCTGTAGAGGTGGTCCCAGTAGTCGTCGTCGTGCTTGTCATCTGTAATGAAGTTCGTCATCAAATCAAAAGAAAATGTTTTTAAGTATTATTTACCAGTGGAGGATGATTTTGCGCCCGAGCGGAGCGAGTCCGAGACTGGTAAATTATACTTAACTGCTGCGTGGTGTATAACATTTTATCTGCTCCCACAGTCCTTTGTGGTTCATGAAATAAATATTAGGTTTTATTTTTTCTGTGGTGTTTATAAACAAAGCTGCATAAAAGTTGCAATTTTGCTGGATTTGCATTATTATTTCTAAATGAGTGATTTTCAAACAGAAAGTGCAGCAAATGCTGCCTGCGAATTTTTATTTCCCGAGAAGTCGAAAGTGCGCTGCAGACGAGCATATAGAGATTTCCAAGAATGGTGCCAGAACAAAAATACTGGTGTTTCTGAAGTATCACTGCGAGCATATTTCATGGAGAAATCAAGACCTTAAAGTCATCGATGAGTTTGTGGAGTAAATACTCAATGATTAAGTCAACTATTTTCATGGAGAAGAACGTGGATATATCAAAATATCCCAAGCTGAGAGCATTTTTGAAACTAAGAATGACGGCTATATACATAAAAAGTCAAACGTTTTTACAAGGGAACAAGTCAACGATTTTCTCGTTCAGGCACCCGATAACACATATTTTTAATGAAGGTAGTGACGGTCTTAGGCATTGCAGGAGCATGCCGTTCTGATGAATTATGCAAACTTACTTTGGACAACGACAATTTCAAAAATTTAGATGACATTGTAGTTACAATTCCAGAGTTCTAAAAATGGTGTGTCACGTAAGTTTACAATTACTTCTCTTCTGGGCTCTTTTTCTCACCTAGAAATTCTCAAGGAATATATCAAGATTAGATTGGAAATTAAAACTGAATTTTCACGCTTTTTATGCGCTCTCCAAGCAGGTAGATGTTACAACCAACCAGTCGGCAAAAATTCCCTTTCTATGATTCCTAATAAGGTTGCACAGTTTTTGAAACTAGAACATCCTAAAACATATACAGGTCATTCATTCCGAAGAACATCGGCAACGTTACTGACTAATACAGGAGTTGATGTATTAGCAATCAAGAGACATGATGGGTGGAAATCAGCCACAATTGCAGAAAATTATGTTGCTGACAGTTTAAGTAACAAAAATGAAATAGGTACGTGGCATCATGCTGTTTTAATAGATGTCAGAAAATATTGAGCCTTCGCTGACTGAAATGGAGCAGTCAAATCATTTTGAGAAAAATGTGACAATTAGTAAACGCAAGGGGAATAATTATCCAGATTCTATAAATGTTACTAAATGTAATAACTGTACTATTTCTATAAATACTCATTCATAATAATTCATAAAATGTAATGTTCATCAAATATTTCCATTTATTTGTTCATAAAATATGCATTTATAACTCGAAATCGCTATTTTCCCTTACTAGGGAGGTAAGTTACTTCACTTACCCCCATTGTCCATTGTCCATAGCAACTTCCACTTCTACGGTAAAATTCACTTACCTCCTTAAAAACAATGTATTAATAGTCTATTTATTATAGTGGGATCAGATAAAAAACCCTTTCGCTTCACATATCAACGTTAGTTTGTGTAATATAAGACTCACCACAATTCATTTCGTCACTTCCCGTTTGACAATCGACCTTTCCGTCGCAGTTGCTGTCCTGGGGCACGCACACAGTCTCATTTTCGCACTGGAAGTACCCCTCGATGCAAATACCTCTGGGGACGTCAGTAAAGCTCCCTGGAAAAACATAAATCCTGTTCAATAAAAAAAACCGCACGTTCTTGTGGTTCGGTCTTTAACACCGCTTTGTATATTGCTTCTAACAATCTGTCAAACGTACATTTCAAGCATATAATAACTCTTCTTAATCCTAAACATTAACAATGGTACACGTGGCATGTTGTGACCATACTGTGTCTGTTGCTATTTAGAAAACCTTTATCTTCAGACGACGTGTAATATATCCCATGTATTGTGCTTCGTATTACTTGTAAACCTCCGAAATCCCACTACGCTGGGGCGTCTTTATCTTACTATCAACAACGCATGTATTTAATTCAGGCATCGTTGTACAAACAGAAGACGAAAATTGGGAACGAGAAATGTACGAGACACTGTAAAGTTCCTGGAAAGTTTGCCTGTATTAAATTTTTTTATGCCTCTTGTCGGACTGCAGACAGGAAAGATTGAATGAGTTGTATAATTGAAACCAATGAAATTTTAATTGACTTTTTTGACTGGTTAGTCAAAAATCTTTTACAGATGAAACAGTTTTAAACTGTAATTAAGGTCGTTGCTTTTAATCCAATTATTTGCAGCTTTTACGGAATTCGAACCGGATTCTGTTTAAAAATGTAATAAAATGTTTCAGTAATAGTTTCAGAGCACCTAAATGTAATTTGTGTTACACAAAACATAATTAAAGTTTAGCGTTATAATCAATACTATTATTTGCAAGATATTACGACTACAATAATTGGAATCATCATCAGTAGCAGTTTTGAGGTTCAGAACTTCATCTTTGAAACAGTTTCACTCATATTATTCATTTTCACCCGTTATAGGTCAGTCAAATTGTCGAAAATACCTTGTTTTTTTTCCAAAATTTAGTTCGGTAAACAAAGACAGGTAAAAATTAGGAAAAACTCCGTAAAATTGAGTAAACTACTTTATCCCAGCTGAATGTTAGGGCTTCATTTTCAAAATGTCGTTAAAAGTTCGCAAAACACAGTTTTTTTCACATAAAAAAGAGTAACTAAACATTTTAGAAAAAATGTTTTATACAAAAGTTGAAGAACTTTTTATAACAAAAATTTTGAGCCCGATGTCAATTAATTGATAATAGTTATTTTTTAATAAACAGTTCTATCCGAATTTGGTAAAAATGCAAGAAAGTAATTGTGTTCCTGTGGCTTACTATAAAGGTCTACAAAAATATAGATATTTGAAAATATAACAAGCTTACTGCTTATTTGACGAGTGAATCGAGAAGATACAAAGCAAAAAAGCTGCAGTATTGGAAAGCACATATTGAAGAATTTTTTACTGGGGCTTCCGATAAAGAATATTTAATGATTAAGGTAATATCTCTTTACCTTTTACATGTTGTTAGGTCTATAGTGAACTTTGAATTATTTTGCACTAACAATGGGGGTTTCTGGTGCCTGTCGATGCTTCGAAATGACAAATTTGAAAATTAGTGACGTACAGAACGTTGACAGTTACCTACTTGTTTCAATACCTGACACAAAGAAGGGCATTTCAAGAAAATTTACAATTATAGAAGGATTTTGCGTGAATGCTGTTGAAATATGCAGAAAATATATTTCTCTGCGCCCAATTTGCCTAACACAAGACAGATTCTTTCTAAGATAGATAAATCAAAAATGTATTTCTCAGTCTATTGGAATCAACACATTTTACGAAGGTACCCTCAATAGCTGCTTCATTCCTGAATATTGCAAATCCAGAAGCATATACTGGCCATTATTTGAGGCGTACTTCAACATCTTTATTGCCCAATAAAGGTGCTGATCTTACGACCATCAAACGGTATGGTGGATGGAAGAGCTCCTCTGTGGCAGAAAGTTATGTTGAGGAGTCTACATCTAACAAAATTGAGGATCCAAGGAAAATCCAAGGAAAATATAGTTCCTGTTCCTTACAAGAAGAGATATCTGTAACTTATGCAAATTTTTCACAGACTTCGGCAGATGTTATGCGTTCCGAAATTGATGGCAACAATGCTACAAGGGTTGTTATTAACGGAAAGGAAGTTAAATGTGAAATAATCTATTTCTATAAAAATGTATATGTTAATGTTAATAAGTAAATAAATTAAATTTGATTTATTATATAGGTTTATTATTTTTTCATTATTCTACTAGTGAAATGAAGTTACTTTATTCCACTAGTGGGTAAAGTATCGCTTTAGACGGTTCATATGTGTGGATAAAAGTCCGATTATAAGGTGATGTGGATAAACAAATGTTATAGTTATTGCAAAAAAAAAACGCTATAAGTTGCATTTTTTTTAAACTTATGTTTAAAACGAAAAAAAAATTTTTTAACGAAACATTCAGAATAGTCCTTAGCAAGTAGAATAATTGCATTTTTATAAAATTGCAAAATATTTGATAGTTTTTGCAGATATTGAGTTTTTCCAAAAAAAAAATACTTTTCCTTCAAGTTTCAATAAATTATACAGTAATGCACTTACGTGACCCATCTTGGGCACAAAATTTTTTCTAAGAGTTGTACTTTTCTGTGCAAATTGTGCGCGTATTGTAAAATACTTGGAAATGTGCGAAAAATCTACGGGGCCCAACAAAATTAAGTTTACTGTAAAAAGGGGGTCTTTCGCTGCAGACTATTTTTTATATTGAAATAAAAGTATTCAACTACAACATATGCAAATTTCAGACCTTAATACTAATAAATGAGATCGTAGCGATTTTTTGGAAAAAAAAAATCTCGGCACCTGTTGGTCGTAATACATTTTTTTAAATTTGTGAAAAAAATGTCGGCTTTCAAAAGGCAATAATGCCATTCCAATTAAATTTCAACGATAAGAAAAAGATCTACATTTTTCGAACCAAAAAATAAGTCAAAGTTTCGGTAGATTTTTCGCATATTTCCAATTATTTTGCAATACGCGCACAATTTGCATAAGAAAGTACAATTAGAAAAAATTTTAAGCCCAAGATGGGTCACGTAAGTGAGTGCATAACTGTATGATTTATTGAAACTAGAAAAAAAATTTTTTTTTTCGAAAAACTCAATTTTTGCAAAAACTATCAAATATTTTGCAATTTTACAAATATGCACTTATTCTACTTGCCGAGGATTACATACTCTGAAAGTTTCATAAAAAAATCTTTTTTCATTTTAAAGATATAGAAGTTTTAAAAAAATACTATTTTTAGCCGTTTTTTTTGCAATAACTAATATATTTGTTTATTAATTGACATCGGGCTGGGCTCAAAATTTTTGTTATAAAAAGTTCTACAACTTTTGTCTAAAACATTTTTTTCTAAAAAGTTTTTTTTAATGAAAAAAAAAAAGTGTTCAATTCCAGGGAATTTTTCCTAATTTTTACGTGTCCTGGTTTACTGAACTAAAAATCTAATTTGATTGGACTATTAAACACACCCCGTACAATCGCAATAAACTTCGATAAAGCGAGTATTTCTGACAGAGGAACTTTTTAATATAAATGTCGAGTAAGGGATATGATTGATGCTGTTTACATTAGGAAACATTTGTTTGTATTTGTTATTCAGTTCATTGTAACGTCATATTTATTTCAAATATCATGTCGGTATAGAGTTTCGACGATGCAGATTTGACTGCCGGTAACATGTCCAGGGCCGGCTTTGGTCTAGGGGCCAAGAATTTACTATACACGGTACGTTCCAAAGGACTTTTTAAAAATAAGAACAACAAAAACTTTTTTTGGCAAAACCGATTTAATTTATTCATTTTTAATTTCTCCAAACGAGATTTTTTGGGTTTTGGCTTGTCTTACGTCTTCCACTCGGCACTTTGGCGCTTGGTTTCTGAATGATGTCCTTTGAATGTTGATGATGTCCTTGAATTTTTGGTCGTCAATCAACTTGTGAGGAACAAACCTTGCACACACTTTTCGGAAGCCAAATATTCGACCGAAATGCGATTAATTGATGATTTTGAGATGCTCAGTTCCAATTCCATGAATTTCAATGAAGATTTTGACTGATCTTTGATGGAATCTGCACCACAATCACGCAGGAAGACCGAGAAGAGCTTTTCTAAACCAACTGTGGGAGCGACAGTAATCTACAGCGTTTAGTACCATGGAAGCCACAAAATATTTGAGGCCGGCTCTGTTCCCTGCTAAGTTTTACAATTAGTTCGCTTTCGTGGTTAGCTTTTGCGGTTTGTTTATATTTGCCGATGAAAGCGATAACCGTAAACAAGTAGGTACCTGCTAAAGCGATAACCATTATAAACATCGTTAAGCCTTAGATCAATAATAGGATAACTAACTGTATGCAATAAATCCTGCATTGTGGCAGGGCAGTGGCGGCTCGTCGTATGAAGCAACTGAGACCGGGCCTCACTGTAAAATTACTATTCCACTATTAACCTAAATAAACAGTTGCGTAAACTAATTTTCATTTATGTCTTACATTTATCAAAAATCAGAATAGCTTATAGTTTTAGTTCGCGGTTAATGAACGAGTCGCGTAGTACGCGGATAGTGTCTGATGTCAGTGTGCGCTGGCGGCGTTGTTTTATATGTAAATAGATAAGTTGGCTGGCTACCTTATGAAAATTAGTTTGTTTTTTTTTTCATATTTTTTAATATTCATAAACCAAGTAGGAACAATTTTGTTAATTACACAGCCCCACAAAAAAAAGTGGCAGGTCCGAAAGACAAGACCATGGTATCCATATGGTTTTGGGGTCGCTGAATCCGAATCCGGTGTCCGTTTGATGCGATCAGATCTGGTTTAAGTTCAGTTCAAGGTCAAATGTAAAGCCAATTATGTTGTTCGTATTTGATCTTATGTAAGACTGTCTAGTCCAGGAGAATTAAGTATACATTGACATGGCTGTTGTTTGACGTAACTTGGATATTAGTAAAAATCGGTCGAAAATAATATATACAATGAAAATATAAGGTTGCGCCAAGAAAAAAAGTTGTGCTATTTGCAGAAAAAATTCAAAACTGAAAAAATACTCAAAAATTACGTGATAATTGAATTCCTCTCATTTTGCTTTATCGATTAAAAAAAAAAACATCAAAATCGGAGCCATAGAAGCCGAGATATTGAACGCCGAAGCGCGCGCGCTTTTTTTGAACGAGCGTTTCAATTTCTATAATTCATCCCCTCCCCTCGGTTTTGCGGCACAAATGGTCGGCTTGACAATATTCATTGAATATTCATAAAAAAGCACACGTGCGATCATATTTATAAAAACACATACGGAAAGTTCTTGAAAAAACCTACCAAATTCAATTTTTATTGTTGTTACATTATACATAGTTTTGCAGTAAGCGCTTGTTAACGTTGACACTCT